TTATGATTTGATCACACACGAACGACCCCAGATTAGGGCCAAGATGAGGCAGTTTAACCAACAAGAATCTAAACGCTTCGCGAAAAGAGCCTTGATTCACTACGAGTGTCTGTAGCCTTTTGGTAAAATATAGCTGGTAACTGAAAGAATATAAACATGAAATGTTATGTTAGTATGGAGACTGACTTGTGAACTGTGACGGTCACTTGGTAATCGCTCGTTCTCTCTTGCCTACTGACTCGTAAGGGAAACGTTGCTACGTAGCTACGTCGCTTTATAGCTACTCAACGAAAACAACTTTCTCGATAACTCAAAAAAATATCTTGCAACCTAATTCCAAATTAGAACTTTCCTAATTTCCTGATCCAATTGAGGAAGTTTTGAAATTGTCAATCGGTGCCTTGTTCAAGCAATGAAACATTGTTACCATAACACTTCACAACCACACCATTGTTTATGTAAATTTTCTCTCAGTCTCTCGGGTAAATCTCTTTTTGCAACTGACACTTGCTATGTGATGACTAGAAAGGGCTAAAACTCTTTTTTTACATAAAGTTTGTTCGTCTTGTGATATTACAGAGTTTGGTGGTAAACGTATTTACCAAGTAGAATCGAAAACACGGAAATAAAACGCCGACAAAAACGAACACATAGCAAATAGTACCGTATGAATGCTACTACATGCGTAATAAAGTTCACATTTAAGATTACATTTTGTTTGGTTTTAAAACCTTGGCAATGAAGTATTAAATTAGCTACACAAGTCAAGTTTGTCGATAGGCATAACTCTGCACCATTCTTCAAATTTTGATTTTAAATATGGCTCCATGCCCAAAAATTGACCAGAGCTTTGGAAAACCGAACTCTAGTTTAGTTTTACAAGCATTAGATGAAATTAGGGCATAGATTTTTTCAGAAACCACTTCCGGTCCTAGGTCACATTGCTTCTAGGTTCTGTCGGAAGTAATTATATTTTATGTTATTTTGTGGAGACGAAAATGATCATATTTAATCCGCCTGTCTTTGCTACATTCAGCGAAAGAAAACGGGTCCTAAGTTAAGCTTTGTTTAGCTGTTACAGGCAGGCAATACCTGTTGCTTTTTTCAGGAACATTTGTTACACCTGCTAACCAACTTCCTTATAACAAAATCTCGGTCAAACGCGCGACGCACTCCATAAACTGCAGGGAGAATGGGTACAAGTCTTCGGCGCATTGATATCTGGGATTTTGCCAAAGGTCAGAAGGCTGTGCTCTAAGAAAAATTGAAGGGAGCCCAGTGCTCTGAAACTGTAAAATCTAGGGTGCCCAGCATATGATTTGTATGAAAAATCTGAGATTTTCTAGTCGCGGAGGGCAAAAGTTAGGCGCCAGGGCCTAGGGGCTACCGGGCTCTGCTAGAGCACAGCATATGATTGGTCGAAGGTATCCAGAGATAAATCGGCATAAACCTGTCGTCACTTACATCGCCGGCCGGTCCACACGAACAATCCCAGAAATCCTCAAGGCTAAATGCTTGCACCAATTTTCCCTGAGGTGTAAGCATTGATGACTACAAAATAAGTTTACGTCAGGAAGAAATTCCTAGTTATAAGAAGGTGGTTTCCGCCAAAGGAAAACCTCCCATTAAGACAACAAAAACTCCTGGAATTACAATGATTATAAGTTACAATAAAATTATCAATAAACGGATGAACGCGAAAATGCTTCAATTGTTAAAAATAAACTTATTAAGAGACACTTGAAATCAAAGCAATGAAGTGTACAAGTAGATTAACCACTTTAACCAACTGCTTGTCAAATATAGTTATCTGGATTACAAATCTTGGTGATCACTCTTTGAGTGTTTTATATTGTACGTTAAAGTTACGTCGCGCTGCAGGGCTGGAAGGGAGATGCCAAAATACGACAGATTGCGATTTACACTCTCATGCAAACAAACTTAAATCTGATTGCGTGCGCGAAAACGCGTGAACCAAGCGGCGCAATTGACACAATAGGGAGCTTAAGCAGCAACGTTTTTGAGCGACGCACGTCAACCGGAAGTGAGGTATTTTCCCTCTTAACATGCCTTGATGATATAAAATTTGTATTCCTTAGCTTCTTTACTGTTATAGAGGCGATTTGACTGAAAATTTGCGCGAAACCACCGTCAAAAAATGAAAAAAGGCCACTTCCGGTTGACGTGCGTCGCTCAAAAACGTTGTTGCTTAAGCTCCCTAATAAGAGCATTACAATTTCAAATCCGAATAACGTTGCAATTGATTCGCGCACACACTGCATGGAGATTAAAATGATCACAAGAACAAAAACGGAAATGTTAAATCATGTTACGTCGATTAAATTAAATTAGAGAAAAAGATATCTTTAAAAAAGACAGAAATGCCTTCTAAAAGGAAAAAAATAGATTCCCTCTCCTACGTATGCGCTTTTACAGGCAAATGTTACATAAGTTTCCATGACTTCGAAAAAAATCCTTAGCTTCCCACAAAGGCCAAACTGAAAAAACGGAGCAGTTGGAAAAGAAAGCCAGAGGAGGCGTAATTCCTATTGACAGTATTTGAACTAACATGTCGTCAAACACTGTTTCCTGATGGCAGCTATTGGTACAAAGTACTTACCGAAGCACTGAACTGGGAGGCGGAGAGACGTGTACGTACATTGGCAGAAGGTGCTTAAAAATGAGAATGCGCGGTTTCACTTTGGCGACATTAAGCCTCGTTTTTGAAATCATTAGCGTAAAGATTCGTCATCAGCCTCGTCTTAAAATCATCTCGACAAACAAACAAATCGCTCGATTCGAAAAGAATGGCGCACAGACACACCAATCATACAGGAAAACCACCTTTGAGTAAATTGGCGTTTTAATTTTTAGTACTCATAATCTGTTATTAAAGAACAACTTTTTATATACCTCTGTCAAAATTACAACTCTAACGTCGTGAGAAGATGGATAAATTAAAAACGGAAAAAATTAATCGAAAAAAAAAAAAAAAAAAAAAAAAAAAACCTTGGAATTTTGTCTTTTATCCTACCTTGGACATTCGAGCATTAGGGACCGGATGTCGTTTTTATCTCATCATCCCGGAAGGGGCCCTCTCCTTTTTATATGACAGACGCTAACAAAGGCTTTAAAGACGATTTAATTTCAACGAATTGCAAAAAGTCCCTCAGGTGACGGAAGTTTGTCCCTATCAGGTATTGTCCACTATCTTAACTTTAAATGTTTGCCAAAAAGACTACTGCTCAGAATGATCAAACAACGTGAAAAGATCTGGGTTACAATATTTCCACTAGCACTGTACAGCCGGGTGTAGTAGGACTAATCACGTCATAAAGAAAAACGTATGATGTAAAACATCGATTGGAAATTACAAGACATGAGACGGGGTATGAGTCTTGGCATGAATAAAAGATGATGAACTTTGACCTCTAACCATTTCTAGGATATACATTTTTATCTTTCCTTTTGTCTATTTTTAGTGAATATCTACTATTTTTTTAATTCCGTGAGCTCAAGTTGAGTAAAGAAAGGCTTGTTTCTGCATATTTCCATCAAAACTTGATAAAGAATCGAAGGTAGCAAGCCAGCTGGTTTTTACTAAAGGTGCTTTCCAAGAGTCAGAACTGGCCGGTCAGACCGGTCAATTTGAAAATGAAACATTAGTCTTTTCTTAAAAATTTAACTGAAACCCATCACTGCCGTGTATACCATTTAAGAATGAACTGATCAGGCCTCGGTTGTTCAAAAGTTGCATAGCGCTATCCGCCGGATAAATCACTATCCAGTGGATAAGTATTAGAAACCACTTGCGTTATTGGAAATAACTTGGACCTGGCTGAACTCCTAAAAAAAACCGCAAACCGCTTGGTTTCGTTAAACCGCACCTAAAATCGAGTAAAACCGCATCACCGCAAACCCTTACGCCGCCGTTCTGGCAAATGATAAGCGCCTTAAAACAAAGACTACACGTTGTCATTTTCTAAGAGTTACGTAGCCTGCTCGGTGCGAGAACAACGCGCCGAGCTGTTTATTGATTCAGAAATCTGACTCTGCACCAGACCACTCTCAAGTTTCGGTCAAAGACAATCAATTCCCAGGGTTAGGTCTCTCTATTTCCCATCTCTACAGACTTTCTAAAAGTCCCTTGTTTTTTTCCTGCTTGGTTATGCCATTTTAAAGGACTTTTCATACCTATTTGGCGCGAAATTAACCAGTCGAAAATTCCACCGGTAAAGTCATGACAAATGACCAATAGGAGAGTGAGTAGTATTTGACGCCACTCCCGACAAAGCATGTGAATTTATATTATGATTCAAATCCAGTCAGGCGTAGCGACTTTGTCAATTGCTCGCTCGCTCGCTGGCGGCGCGACAACATTGAAGCTCGTTTCGCTCTCTTTTAACAACGCATGAGAGGTCGACCATTTGTAGAGAAGAAGAGAGACTGTAATCTCCTACCCAGATCTCTTGTCGACATGAGATCTGGGTAGGAGATTACAGAGACTCTTGCAAGCCTCAAGAGACTATGAAGGACGTCTGGCCAGGATTGAAGTAATTATAAATATTTTAAGGTTTTGGCAACTAGTCAGGACTTTCACACAGTCTTTTGCAAAAGCAGAGAAAAAACAAACAAACACACTAACACACACAAACAAACAAAACCGCAAAAAGAACAAGAAAAGGAAACAACCTTTAATTCTTCTCTTTATTTCAAGCGAACTTACAAGGTAATAAACCGGCTCGTTATTTGAATTTTCGCAATAAACAATAATCTTGACGCTATCGGGGAATTTTAAGATTCTAAATATTAAATAATTTAGCTATCGCTTCAAATGTATAGATGAAAACCTCACGGTAACAACTAAAAATAATTTTTGTGAAATAATATCTGTTACAAAACTTGAGGATACAAAACAAGGAAGGCGACGTTCACACTAACGTTTATTTTTTCTGTGTTTTGGTTTTTCCTTGAAACCCAAACAATCAAAAAGGCGGATCTTTGAAAACGCTGACAAGGGTGGAGACTATCGCCAGTAAGGACGAGGTTTTCGAAAATGCTGACGTCATAACTACGTATGTATGACGTGTATACAAGGCGGTGCGACGGTATCGCACACACGTCTAAGGCCCATTTATATGAAGAAAAGATGTCCCGGCAAAGAGGGTTACCCTCACAACCGATTCAACTTAAGCAAACGTTTATTTGAGAAGAAAGTTCACCCCTTTGCCCGAGGCAAGAGCTGACAACAGTACTCGTCCATGCTCTGATTGTCTCGCCTTGACCGAGTCGACGCGGCTGGGCGAGCTTATGTGTCATCAATAACAATTGACCTGGCTAGGAGGATCACCCTAAACGGTTCGCCACGTTTTGTAAGGAAATTTATGAAAACCTTGGCTCGTCCACCGTAGCTCCAGTCGGGTAGGCGAGTGACCCGTCTACCGCGGGACAAGTTTTCTGCATGTAAACAGGGCCTTAGCAATAAAAGTCAAACTACGATGAATAACATGTCTTTCATTGAATTGATTTTTGTCTCACCTTGACCGAGTTGACCCGGCTGGGCGAGCCAAACTGTTTATATGGAAAAAACGTTTGTCCCAACTAGGATAGCCTGTGTACAGACGTCCCTCTACCCTTAGAGAAAAATCTATTTTTTTTCAGGGGAGGGGGCGTCTATACACAGGCTAGGCTAGGAGAGTGACCCTACCTGTAACCATCGAAAAAGGGTAACCAAGCAGATCAAGTAAACAAGTTTAATTAGACCAGGTTAAAAATAAATAGTAATGGAAAACTGAAACACGGGTCTTTACACAAGATTCAAATGAATTTAGACATGTCACGTAATTTCAAAGACAGTAAGCAGTGTTGATAGAGAAAATAATTTTAAACAGTATTTACTGACAGTTTTTAAACATGCTCAACCTTTGGTGTGAATGGGCTATTAGCTTAACGACCTGAAACGATGCGAAAACGATACCACGAGAGCGGAATTTTTGGTGCGTTTTCTTAATAAGTGTGAACGTGGCCTCAGTGCAAAAATATAACTCGAAGAAAAGAAAGAATGGAAAGAAAAAGTAACATCCTCCGAATTTTTCGTCCGTGCGCAAACTTGAAAGCGTTTGGAAAAATAATAATAATGATATTAATAATCCAAGTCTACGCGACAACGGGTTTTTTCTTTGCGTCCAAGTGAGACGCAGAATACTTCATTTTATATTTAAATTATTAAAGACGTCCCAATTGACTAAATGCTGACTATTTACATTGTTGCAGGGGAAATTTTTCATGTGGCATATCTTTTGGTCCATTCTCTTGCTGTTTTGTCGTGGTCCTCTCTGTTGGAGAGGTACTGAGTCGCTATGGTTCCCACCAGAGGGTCAGCTGAAACCAGGAAATTTCACAAAGTTAACATACTGTAATTTTTAGAATGGGCGCTTATTTAATTTTCACCATATTCAGCGGTAAAATAAATTTTGCAACGACATGGTGAAAAACAGCAAAACACTTGGTCAGTTTTTATTCGCACTGTCAGTAGGGTCAATATTAGTGGCAAGGGTGGGCGCTTATTCGAGGCTGGGCGCTTATTTTGGAGTTAGGTGCTTAATCAAATAAATATGGTAATTAGTAGAATTATTTTGGAGGGGTACTAAGGAGCTTATTACTTAAGGGCGGCTGGCTCGATTTGTCCAAATCTTGGTACGTTCAATAATTTCGACAAAAATCAACATCGTGATTACTTGACAACCGAGCCAATCCGGTTAGCTGGGATTCCCGAATCACGATACCGGGATACCAGCTCCTCGGCGGGAAATTTTCCGTGTAAACACAAAAGCTAGGCGAGCCGCCGACGAACAAAACCAGCAAAGGACAGCGGGTAAAATACTGCTCCTGCGCACTACTTCCAATGTCTCTGTTAACATGGCCGGCCTGGCTCGCTTCATGTCAGAGAGGGATAAAAGTCACTTCGGCAAAAAAAGTCATCCTGGCAAACCGGGCCAATCTGACCCTAAGAGCCTGTTTACAAGGGGGGAGGGTAACTCTGGTGCTTGGGTTCAGGGGCAGCCAACGTCAATTTTCGAATATCTGTTCGGAAGACGATTTGAGATCTAGAATTTTCGGAACATTTGTTGTAATATTTCTTACTTAAATGCCTCTCCCAGCATTTTCGAACATCTAAAAAATGGTACAATTGCCCATTTTTAACCGATTTTTACCCTAAAAAGGTCACCAACAATTTTTGGGAACTTTTTTTGTGGCTGAAATTTTCGAAAAGGTAAGTTTTGATCCCTATAATTTTCGGATCACTAGACTTTCAGCTAGGAAATCCGAACAGATGAAAAATTTTTAAGGGATAAACATATGCCTATATCTACCTGTTAAATACTAAAACACGTTTAACAATGCTATGTTTAAGTGGTTTTGAACTATATCCTGGTTGGGTGCCCCTGAGGGTTACCCTTGCAAGGGGGTTACCCTACAGCATTCGCACATTTCCTCTTTTGGGGAGACGTGTTTACAAGGCAGGCAAGTTACCCTGAAGCTAGAGTAACCCTACCTGGGTGCTAGGGTTGCATAAGACAGGTTTACATAAGAGTCTACTGCCTACGTTACCTGGATTGCAGTCAGAAAGAAGAGAACAAACTGAGAGAAGAACTTTAGAGATGGTGAGTGCTGGACTCCAGTTGTCTTTCAAAATGTCCAGACATATCACACCCTGTAACAACGGTACAGCATCTTAGTCATAACGTTAAAAATAACCAGGAGTGACCAACTCCCACCCTAAGCTAAACATATAGATTTAGCCAAAGCTAAAAGCGAAGCTACCGTTAATGCATTGTGACGGTCATTATTTGGACTTCTGTCTGGCCTTCCCTGGGAATTAGTCTTTCTCCAATCCCTTGAATTTGACTTGCGCCTGCGATCAATTAACCGCTCATACCTGGTCAGCGAAATATTTCAAAAAACACGTAACCCAGGTAAGTTGACATTAAAGCCCGCGATATAGTCACGTGATACTGGTCAGCGGATCCCCTGTTTTGGCAGCTGTCAATTAAACGCAGGTTGCAGGCTGCTACAGTTGTTTGAAAAGGACATTTCTCAATGGTTCCCCTGTGGTGTGGACGGACGGACGGTCACGTGATTACCAAATTTTCTCGGATGCCTAGATAACCAAATTTTATCACCTATGGTGCTCCTAGCGAGAGAGAGAGTTCCGCGATAGCGGCGTTTCCACAAACCGGTTTAAAAGTTAAAATTTTGCTATAGCCTCCCACGCCGAGGTTCAGGAGGGCTTCGTCACGCGTTCAGTCCTCCCGTGCGTGACGAACGTGAACCCTAAGAATGTCTGCATGGGAGGCTGGCATTACTACGGGCCTACAGTTTCAAGCCAGGTCTAAGAATATCGCGCCATTTTCTGTTCAAATTAGCAAAAACTCAGGACGACTTCCAACTGGCTGGTTCATGTTTTGCCACGTTGTGTGCCGTATGCTTCTTATTCTCGGTGGAAATGACAAGGATGTCGAATGCTAGCCCGAAAAGTAAGCGCATTTTGCAGCGCGAACGATGATACCAATGTTCTTCCGCCATCTTAGACTTTGAAACTGACAGAGAGTTGGGGTGAGCCAAACAGTGATTGACAGGTCAGAATAGAGGAAGGGAAATCCCCTCCGCCCTTAGTTTTTCTATTGCTGTCAATTTTTGATCGGATCAATAACCAGAGTTTAAAACCGTCAACTGACGTGATACAACTCACTTTGAATCTGAAGATGACTACCGCACAGGTTGTCGAAACGTCAGTCACTATCAACAACAGTCCTATTCAGGACTACCTTCACGCGGACGATCATACTCAACCTACTTAAGAAATGACTCCTGGCTTCAAATCTTTCACAGCTTTCAAGTTTGTGGCCGCGATCAATGTACCCGGCTCTGAGCGTTCATTACCAGGTAAGTCAAACGCCTCAGACTAAAGCTTAGTTAGAAACCTATCATTAAAATTCTGAAAAAAAAAAAAAGGCCTACGGCAAAGCACCTCACCTGACTGTTCACATTGCAGTGATATATTCTTGTTCGAAAGGTGACCTGAATGATAATACAGAAAGCATCAGAGTTTCAGTGTCAATGTAAAAAATCAGGAGCCTGAAAAAATACAAGTCTAGTCTCAGATGCAAGATATCCAAAAAAAATTTCATCAAGGGGCACAGCAGACATAGCATTACAACGTTACGAAAACATTGCCCAATCTTATCAAGTTCAATCCATGTCCATTTTCGCCATCTGTTGCAACAGACGACAAGAAACAGTTTCAGTACCTAAATATGGTCTTAAATAACCAAACTAGTCCATTTTTTTTGGAATTCGATTGATGCGAACACACTTTTGAACTTTTTAAAAGGATGGCAAATAGCCTGACCTCGCCCCTTTAACCCTTTAAACCCCAAGATCAAATTTTGAATTCTCATTTGTTGCCGCTATTCATGTCCTACAGAAGTAGTGGGGAGAAGTTGATAAAATATCAAGTAGATTCATCTTGTGTGATCAAAACATTCATATTACAAGGAGAAATTTGATGCAGATCACTCATAGGGCTCAAAGGGTTAAGGTCGTATCGTTGTCATACTTGGAAGTGAATAGCCTAGTCCCTAGGCCTCATTATTCCGCGCGGCCAATTCGTTTCGGGTCACGTGCTCCGAGCGAAGAAGTGATGGCGTTTCCCGCCCGTTCGCCTCGGATTCGTCACCGAAGTGAATTGACCGAGAAGGCCTGGGAAAACGCCGTACAGGGACTAAGCAAGGAAGTGAATGCAAATGTAGTTTTCCGTACCTTGGGAGGCTTAAACGGGTAATCTGTAGGAAAATGGATATCAAGAAAGAACACTCCTCCTTCGTATACTGAACCAGGGGGTCCTAGAATTGTGGAGTTCCATTCGTAAAGATTATCTCCCTTGGGACCCGCGCTGTAAAAACAAACACAACCATTTTACATGAAGGCCACTTTAAGGATCAGAGTGAGACTGGGTCAGAGTGATGTCGAATTGCACTATGGGGCTTTTTTCTTGCAAATGCAATGGAGAGGGGAAGTCGCTTACGTCACGTTGCCATGGTAGCAAAATTTCTACATGTCGACAAATCAAAACGTCACTTAAAAAGTGGATTTGCCCTGTTTCAAACAACATCGATCTTTATTTAATTTCATTTAATTTGTCAAACGTTGGCGAAATTTTCTGGGTTAAATCCGACAGGACCGTCTCTAAGTTTAGAAAAAGAAAAAGAAAATTTTTGTGTCGTGTTCACCCACTCGATAAAGCGGGCGAGTGAAATTGGGAAGTTCCATGGCGCAGTCGTGCAACAACGGCTAAGAAATGTACAAAAAAGTGTGATGCTCAAGCAAAGTTGTTCTTTTGCCAATCTAAATCTGTGAACCCGAAATTTTGCTACCATAGTAACGTGACGTCACACTTCTCCACTCTATATTGCTCCTTTGGTGTTGACGTCACGGCGGCCATGTTGGTTATCAGAAACAAAAGCATTACTCTCCTATGGGAGGTAAAACCCGCGATTTAATTCTAACGTTTGAGTCTGTAGAGGAAATCCTCAGACGTGACTATTCAAATGAAAGCCAGAGCAGTACTTTGCGACGACATTGTTTACGTTGTATAAGGCGGTTCCAAATTTAGAGACTGTACATGAAATCGTAAAGTCTGACACGGCATTTAAGATCAAGTCTTGAGCGGGCTCTAAAGAACGGTGCTGTTTTATCAGTGCTGTTTTGTACCGTGTGGTATTTTACAAAACGATTGTTTTTTTTTCTGATTTTGATTGCAGGAACTCAGGGAATTTGTAACCCTAAGTGTCTTAAGGGTTCGCCGCTCGAGTACAAGTTACCCTACCAAGCAATCAACTTCTTTTAGTGAGCGCGCGAGGTTCGTGAATACAAGGAAACGTCTTTCGTACAGGATCTATAGAAACGACTTCTGTGTAGGCGTGTAGTTGCGCATTTTGAATCATAATGCGTTCTCACCAGGTTATGTTAATTCATTTTTGAGCGATTACGCTCGGGCACTTAGCGGTGAAGAGATCCCTACTTTCGCGGGTTTACTGTGACACCACTGGTAGATTCCATCACCACTTCGAAAATTTGCGACCGGCGTACTTTTTTTCACTCACGCACTCTAGGTCAGACGAAATGAAATACCAACCGGAAAAACAGATAACAGCTCTTTCTAAGATTGAGTTACGTGTTAATTTGTTTCCTGTAAAATATAACCGCTAGGGCTAGGGGCTTTGACCGTGTCGCCCACTGAATGTTACTGCCCACGTAATTCAGGTGGGTGTCTGCGGTTGATTAATGTGAATGAGGTATTTTGAGACGTTCGGGGTTACAATATCGTTCAAGAGAGAGATAGAGTTTGGTGTCGGTTTCCCAGTAATTAGCTCTAAAAATGGGCTTCCTTCAAATAACGACATCACTAATAATACGGTCATAAAAAACTTCTCGTCCAATACACAGTAAAATGTCACCAGTATGCTCAAAGCCACATGTTTATACTCAACAAACAAAGGATGTCGGAAACCTTGTTAAGACAGAATGAACAGTGAAAACAGTTGCGCTTAATTCATTTTAGCACAACTACGGCGGGTTTTACAGGCCGCAATTTCGCCAACAATAACCCATGAAGGATAAGAAATTAATGACACCGAACGTCAAGCAAGAAGCCAAGAGTTAACTCCTGATAAGCACTACGGATCATTTTCTATTTCCTGATATAATTTTGTTTTTTCAAAACCAAACTAGAAGAATCGAAGAGCGGTGATGATAAGTTTGCTTTAAGACAAAAAAGGGTTTCAAACTAAAACACGGGAAAACCAAGTCGAAAACTAAGAGGAAGATTTCTCGTCTTTCATGTAATAACCACGGCGATTATTTTTATTTCCTCTTCCATGTCAAAACAAGTTTCCCACGAATGTGCAGCAGAACTTACTGACGACGTCATGTTCATCCATGTATGTAGCAAAGGCCTTTTGATGTTGATGTAGCTTTCAACAATTAAGTCTTTTATTAACGAAAATATAAATATGAGGACGTTGCTCGGACAGAATGTGAATAAAAACAATAATCTTTCACCGGGAATACTAGAGCACAAATCTATAGTATAAAACCGAGGCTAGGAGCGGCGGGGAGTTCCTTTTTCGTTGATCCCTACACTAATAAGATGTGTCCAATATTCATGGTATCTATTTTTTCTTGGCTGCTTACACCATGTAAGTCCGTCCATGGTTGAAGTTGTTATGTAAACTCGCCTCGGCAACTAATACGTGATGCGAAGCAGGTGCTTGTCTTTGCATAAATTAAGGACAAGTCTTGATTCTGAGCTATTCTGGGCCTCTTCGGCCGTAAATCGACGTAGCTACGTCGGGAAATACGGTACGCAATTTACTACGAAAGTAAATTTAGTACACCTTGACCCTTAAGCTTGCTTTGCTGTGCAAAATAAATAAAAAAGAAACAACCTCCGAATATAAGGCGGTCTCAAAATACACACAGTGCCAAAAGCGAATAATTAGTTTTGGTTTTGAAGACAAAGCCTTCGTACACTTTAAAATACCGTGAGTCGCCTTAAATGACTTATCACTTGAGAATAATTGACCCAATCCGCTTTTTCTCCATTTTAAAGAGTTTTTATTCAAAAAAACCATCTCTTTGGGAAAAAAATTGGAACTATTCGGTCTCCGCGTGAATGTCGAATTCTTCCTTATTTTCACATGACAAAAGCCGCAATTCTATTGTTTTCCAAACAAGGGGTTGAGAGCTTAAGTCGTTACCTGCAGTTAGGCGGTGGGTCGAGCGTTATCTCCGCCAATTCTCTCTGAATTCTGTAGAGAAAACACAGCTATTTATTGAGGAAATAAATATTCTAAAGACTAACTCCTACTAACAGAGCTGATAATTCCAATTTGCATCTGTTTAATGCAAACAAAGATAAGGTCTTTCGTCAATATAAGCATCACAAACGCCTTGGAGTCGTGTTCGCAGACTGGCGCTTCCTTTCGTTGAATGAAAGCATTTTGTCTCAATTTGATCACAAGAGGCGATTATTACAAATATTCGCTACAGATCAAAGCATTCGTGGATGCCAAACACCGCGTGATTAGCGCACGCGGGCAAGGAAAAGTTAACATGCAAATTAATCGTGAAATTGAGCATCAAGTGAACACGCTCAGTTAGTTACACGCAACTAAGAGAAGCACGAAGCGAGACAAGGGTCTGCCCAACACAGGCACTATGGTGAACTCGGTGTACTCCCAGAAATATAATGAAGATAAGACTGACCCCTTAGTTGATGTAATGTGTCTTGTAATAGAGCCTCTGTAGTTTACCTTTTCACAGCAGTAGATAAGGTCTTGGGTGAGCGCGAAGTACTGCCCTTCTTCAGGTCTCTCTTTAGACTGGGCACCCTCGTCTCATCTGACTCAGCTGCAGGACGATTTGCTTGCTCGGATGACCGCCCAGACATCTAGATACAAACTATATTTAATAAACATACCATAGTTTAGGCTTTCCGTTAAAGTAACGCAGTGAAATTGTTAAAGCTTAGTGGAGTTAAGTTCATTAACCGCGATCCAAGACCGAGAGGGCCGCCATTTGCAAAGTATTTCAGGTATGTCCGATACTCAGCGCGAAATTAGGACCACATCCAAGCTAGGCTAGCTAGCTGCAATCCAAGGATGTTTTCAGAGAAATTCCGAGTAACTCTGACGATAGAATAGGCAATTCAAGATTGAGGACAAGAGTGAACAAACATGGCCGCCCTCTAGATGTCAGTTCGACTAACTCCATTGTTTGTCAAACGACCGAAATACAAGTCCAGCCTCGACAGATCCTATACCTTGACAATCACAATAAACTGAGGTGTATTTCTGGCAAATTTAAGCCTCGTTCGACGGAGCACTGCCGTGTAAGAGGAGTAGAAAGTTAGAGCTTACAATTCCAGCCGTCATGTAAGGCGTCACAAATGGCCGTCTGCCCCGAGGATGTTTAGTGTTTCCGCCTGTCAACACGACGTCATCAATTAATTAATGAAATAGCGTGAACACACACTAATTTAGTTCACAGAAATACAGGCCTAAAAACAAATTATTTAGCTGGTAAAGGATTTATTTCTGACTACACAGAGTATCGCTTGTCCCCCACAAACTCTCGTTGGGAGTTATTTCAGATTTGAGATATCTTCCGACCCAACGTCATTATCACCACTTCACATGTTACGTCACACATCGCAGGCCGGCTTAGACAGATAAATTTTAAACCTCTTAAAGGGGATTGCAGATCTTATTTTTTCTGGTTTAAGTGAAGCACAATATATATTACAGTTGGTTCCTCTATATATCAATCTGCCATGTCATCATTTGGAGCGTCAGCTGCCTCACTGACTCGTATACTCTTCGATACTGAAAATGTTTGTCGCCAAAAGATTACTCCGTCTAGAAACTTAAGGCTTTCTTTCGCATACTACAGCAAAAGCCTGAAGAGCGACCAACAGTTTAATTGGTAATACTACTTGAACACATTTCAATATTTAATTCAGAAGGGGTGGTTTTTTTATTTTCTCAAACATCTGTCACGAATAGAAAAACAAATAAGTTTGTTAAAAGAATTGAAAGTGAAACACGCCGGCGAGTATTTTGTTTCTTCATTGCTGTTTCTTATGTAAAATTATCATGTTATCGGAATCAGGTTTCCTAAAGACACAATTGTGGTTATTAATATCATTCAGTACTAAACTTTAAAGAGCTTTCATGAACGAGTAAACGCGGGGCTTAAAGTTCTGTGATGTCTGCCATGAATTCAATGGCACCAGCTAAGACAAGAAAAGAAACTCTGGTACCGATTTTGTTGGGTAATTTGTGCACCTGCAGAAGACGATTCAGATTTGTACAGCGTTCAAGAACACCGTTCACCAGCATTTCTTCGGCTGTTGATGATATTTTTCCAGGTGTCAATGGCGCAAGCTTAGGGAATTATCGATAATTTTCCCAACCGTTCTCGTCTGGTTTCCGGCAAAACAAGCTGGAACAGCAGTGGAAAAATAAATAAAAAAGGAAAGGAAAAATACTTTGGAACTGGGCCAATTTTATTCGAATCAGCATTAAGTTTAACCAACGAATGTAAGACTTTTTGTAAAATTCCCACTTCTGTATTCTGCTGTCTGGCAACCGACTTTATAGACGTCCATAACATCAACCGCCACAACCTTGCCTTCAAAATTATTCCATTGTGTGAAATGTTAACCAAAATAAACCACAAGCAAATAGCAAACAAGATTAAACATTTTTTCTCAATTGTCAACTCAGAGCTTGTTAGATGTGATTAATGTTGGTTTATTGTCCTGCTTGCTAGGCTATTTTAGTGAATGTACCAGATTTTTAAGAGTCCGTTTCGATCAGTATTTTATTAACTTAAATGAAAATTCAATTTGCGATAATTTTGTAGATTAATCTGTGTTACCAGAATGCAGATAAATGTTACAACAAAGATTTTCAACGTCACTTCAGAAGAATACTATGTTTATCTAGTATTTAGTTTTATTTATTTATATGGCAAGCCATCAAAAAAGATTTTCAGTCATCCGTCATCACTGATGATATATTGTGGCCTGCAAAATCATTTCAAAACTTTTAAATTAGTACAATTTTTGTGTGTTTTCACTGTGTATAAATGTTAAGCTGTATATCACTCATCCGAAAGACACTTAGATTGATTCATCATGTTCAAATGCCTCCCATATTAAAACGGATGTGAAGTACTGTATGTCATAAATGTTTAATGACCTCGGCAGTAGCAAAATTTGCATACGTCTCTTCAAAATGCCGTTTGAATTCTTGAACAATACAACTTTCTGTGCAATGTTTGCCTGGGTACAAGAGTATAAAACACTAATCTTGTAATTAATAGTTCATTATCTCTACTAATCGGAGAAATAGATTCATTCTTCGTGGACCCCTTGGGAATTCGGTAACTTCTCGAGCGTATAAGTCAGCGAAGCGTAAAAACTTTAATAGCACTTTGAACAAAGACAAACATCTCATTTAACTCGACGCAATACAAGCATTGTTTAAAAGGTTATTAACAACTATGTACAACAACACTTCGACAAAACAGCTAAGGCTGTTTTTTGTTACATCTATTGAAACCCTGTGTGGCTTTAAGCAAATATGAATTGTCCTTTCTCCTTCATGAATTCAGGACAGCGATACGCGAAAACGGCAAAAAATGAAGTCGCTCTTCAGTGGACAGTAAGCTCGATAAGTCAAGAGTTTAAAGTCTTGTAATCATAAATGCAAAGCTACTTTTTGATTTTTGTGTCTGCTGCTCGAAGTGAGATACGAGCAAGGCAGGAAAATCAATTCCTCACTCGTACAAATTGTACGTTTAGCCAACACATTGTACAAAATGAAAACTTTCGTTACTTACTAATAGATTTGGAAGTTATTTTCGGGTGGGAAAAATAACTGAAATAAATTACATTTCTGGGTAATTTTTTTGAAACCGCAAGAACACAGTTTACAAACTTTAAAACAGGTTTCTATTTCGCATCAATTCGCCAAATGATCTGCTATGGTACCAAAAAGTGCCATAGGGTTCGAACGATTCCGCGGTTGGTCGGCGTTATAATAATATCCCCTGCTTTTTGAGACTGCAAAAATTGCGACCCATGCAAACTTCGTAACCTGTCAGCAAATTGGTAAAACCGGGATTAACATGCAAAGTGTAAAATTTCAAGGCTTCAAGGTGAATCAGGGGTTCTGTCCCCAATGGAGTAGAAGGCAGAATCGCTTTCTTCCGTTTATTTTTTTTAATGGAACATTTAATCGTTGCAAATGTTCCTTTCAAATCTTAGTTGCTAGCTAGAAGACTAACAAACAAAGATCTTGTGCCAGTATATTGTATCCACCATGCAGGGATGCCAATCACGGGGATATGGCAATTGTTTTATTCCCCTGGGAAACATCGACAGCTGTTCAACGACACTCGACCTCACTCAATAGCCCACCGCAAGCGTACGCTGATTGGTCAGTTCATTTGTTATGTCGATGGCCGGCAAATTAGTGTTATGACGCACTCTGTTGATAACTTAATGACGTCTCTTTGACAGGCGGAGACGATTCACAATCCTTTGCGCGCCGCCTTAGAGTTCGCATACAGGCTTGGCAAGCAGCTGGTTGAACAAGATCTCGCGCTATCTTCAAACCCTTCGTAATCTTCGCAAGTCCTTTAAAACGACCCGATATTTGCCCAGAAGTATTCTTCATAATCTAGCGAGTGTGTAGGTATAAATTTTGTCGATATTCTCTGAATGGTTTGATCATAATTAACCGTGAAGTTTAAACTGTTCCTGGTGATTATCGGGCCGACATGTTCTTTCTACACAGCCAGCTTCCGCAAGGGGACTATGAACGAGATTAAGAAGCTCAAATGTGGTGCTTTTATCAGCGGAAATGCTTACTCGACTAGAGGGGATATTTTTGCTGAGAACTCGATACGGCTACATATGACAAGCTTCTTGAGAACAGAGGAAAACGGAAAGTGTCTCTCAGGGCCACCGGCTGCCTGTACAGACCGCAGCATCTGTGACAGTCACTGCCCTCTTAGTGTTAATCAAATCGTTCATAGATTTACGTATCACGTGTGCTAATTTAGCTGCCCTAGCCTCCTGTTTTGATGTGAGTAACTCAAGGACTTCACACTAAACACATAGGCTGCCAATTTTTTTAAACCCTTCAGACGCGATCACAATTCCTTTTCTTGCGGGCGGAATTTCTCGCGGCACGAGGCTTAGATATAGTGTAGGTGTTAATGTATATTTCCCTGCACTACCACTCACGGGGCAGTGACCAGATTTGGCGATTAAGCCCTCTGTGTTTGATTTCCAGGTTACCTAAATAGAGTTGGTGATGATGATGTCAGAACAGGGAGCTGTGAGTTCGTCCTCCAGTTCGTCTTCGTCTGAAACAGATAGAAGATCGCAGGAGAGCTGTACAGGAAAGCGATCTGCTCGCGGTAAAGCAGCTAGCCCTCGCCCTCTAAAGTCAATCTCCAATTCTGCCAAGAGGTAGGAAAAGATAGAAAAAACGTAGTCAGGTGGATGAATGTAAAGACCACGCTGGGTAGCAGCCAAGCTTGATCTTTACAAATGAAATTAAGCGCACGATATAAAAGGGACAGATTCAGTTTATCTCTAATTTGCATGTTAACTTTGCCACGGCTCTATTCTCTACTCTTTCGCCAGCAGGCCCGACAAATGGGTTTAATGAACAGAGGGGGACGTAATTCACCTTTTCCAGGGGTCTAAAGCTTAGTGTCTTCGAATTATAGACAGAGCTATCGCGATGACCGAAACAGACAGGTCGCGGGTTTTGAACGAGTCCCTCATGCTCATTAGCATATGCACTGAAGAGCGATTGCCTTTGTGAATGAAGTACCTGCAATATTGACTTGTTTAGACTGTTTAAATGTACTTCTTTTCTTTCAGAATTCAGCGAGAGTTAGCCGAGATCTCCTTGGACCCTCCGCCAAATTGCAGGTAAATTCTCCGCTTCGAATATCACGCTGAACTCCTTCACTTCTTGTTTGGACTGAAAACAATAGAATTGCGGTTTTTGTTTCCTGAATAGCCGGCCTGTTATTAAAATTGAACTCTCTTTATGTTATATGGATCAACTATTTCGGAAGCGAGTATATTTTTCCCCAAAACTGTCAAGTCGGCCACACTGGTCATCAAATATTCCTCCAATTAGGAATTTTCTGCGAACATGATATACATAGATAAATTATTTATTTAAAAGGGGTAAAGACGACATTTAATCGCTCCACGTGGGAGTAAAATGTGTAAAAGACTCATTGTTTTTCTTTATGGTTCAGTCATGCTAAGACTTGCCATGCATGAATAGCCGTCAAGCTACCCTTGGCTTCAAGGTTCTTGTACGAAAACAGAGACTACGCTTGGTCGCGGCCCTTTTCTCGCCAGCATTTTGTAATGTCTGTTTTAATTGCAGTAACGGCATAATCGATATATTTAACTGGCGAAGTAGCAAGCCTTCCTGGGTACTCAATTGTTGATATTATACCTGATATACTTTATGTAAATCAACAGATTCACGTCAGCTGTAGGCAGGTCAGACAGATATTAAGGCCCTTTTTGTCAGAAAGATTGAACTCTTTTTAACTTCTATGATTTTAATTATTCATCTTGTTTTGACGTTATGGTATATTACCAATACCGTACGGAATTTTCATAACACGAAGTAAGGTCTGAGTAAGATGACCGGGTTATTAAAACAAAAATGAAAAATCGTTGTCTGTGCTTTCTGTCGTACGCCAATTTTTACCTTTGATTTTACTGAAATCTTTTTCCGGTTCTAGCTTCAGAAGACGTATTTTTTATGTCAATTCTGTAGGTTGTTTACCACGGTAGATATCAGGCAAATATTGAGATTCGCTCTGGCAGACTGCTATTTATTTAAATAGGAGCTTAGGAAAATTGAATTTTTAAAAGGGCACCCAAAAATACGTCAATTATGACAAACATATGACCATGAAAATCAAAGCGTGCAGATCACAAGTGCTTATTTTGTGAAGGGTCGTATGATATTCGAGGCATTTTTAAGTAAAAATGACATTCGACTGAAAGTGAAAATTAAAGTTTTTAAAAGGTTAATCAAATGATTAAACATATCATATGTTCTATAATATATCATCTTTGATAAATGCCAAACGGTTTGTTCTTCCGAACTATCTTACACCAGGAAGTTCAACAATTGTCTTCGAAACAAACCAACTGCAAACTAAGTTAACTTGGTCCAATATTTCATTTTGAAAACAAAGCTGTTACTTTGACGAGCTATGACTAAAAATAATTGCACCTATAAAACGTTGTTTGTGCAATGAGCCATAGCTACAGTACAAACTACTAAAGTTATAGAATGGAACTATGACTATAGTGTAAATCTATAGTTGTATCATAAAATCTGACAGTAAATAATATAAAATAAAGTTTTGCTGTGCAATATAAGGATTACTTAGTTGTGACGTTATATATGGCGTTTTGAATTAATGGCAAAAATACTTAAAAATGCCTCAAAAAATAGAGCAGAGTAAACAAATAGCTGTTACCTTAAATATAGCGTAAGGAAAGTCGGAAAGGCCTGTTGTGCCGTTTATTCCGGGACCGGCAATTTTTCTTTCCTTCTTTAACAAGTTTCCAAAAAAAACTCTGATCAATATAGTGCTAATTGATATAAATAGAAAGCTACTTAAAATACTTCAAATAACAAAACGATGTAAATAGCTGGCATCTTTTTGGCGGGTTTATCACTTAGTCAAACTCTTCAACGATTACCGGTATGTTCATTGTTTTATAAACTCAAAGTCGTAACAGCTTAAATCATTTTTGACTGGGCCGAGTCTGTTCTGCCCTTCGTTTTGACATTCTTATTCTTTGACCGTTCTATTTTTTACCGTCAGGATTTATTTTTTTTTCCGTTAATAATACCATTAGTTCACTCGCTGTAACACTAAGGTTCCTTCACCTGGCTAATTTTGGCCCTCAGGGTCCAGATGTAATGGGTTCGAGTGTAGCTCATTAGGCAGAATTTTGGAGACTTTGAGTTCAGAAAAAGTTACTGAAACGGATGATTCTAGTGTAAAAAAGGGTCTTCTTAGTCACACTTTCGGGGTGTTAAAGGGGCTTTGTCAGGATATCTGCTATCTGATATCTGATATCTACTTTTTAAAAGCCAAATCAGTTTTTATTTTTGCATCAATTGAATTAAAAAAATAATGATCCAGTTTTGTTATTCAAGACTATATTTAGGCCTTGAAATTGTTTCCTGTCGTCTGTTGTTAAGGATGGCAAGAATGTACATGGATTAAAAATTGAACAATGTCGCTCAACTTTTTCAAGTTCTAATGCTATATGCCTGCTCCGGGGGGCTCCGCATGTGAAAGGGGTAGGGGTGCTAGTCGTCTCGCTTAGGGGTGTAAATTTCGAATTTTGGTCTCACTTAGGGTGTTCTGGGCAAAATGCTATCTTATTTAGCCGTGAAGGTCTCGTTTAGGGTTGCACGCGAAAAAATATAAAAGTATATATTTGATATGTATATTTTTAATGCGTTTTATTTACCCCATTCATATAATCCAAGGTTTCTCATTTTCCCCTTATAGGGGTCAAGAAAAGCTTGGGCCACGCCTAGATCGGTCTCCTTTTGGGGTTTAATTCAAAATTTCCGACGAGCATCCCCACCCCTTTCATATGCGGAGTCCCCCCCCGGATGCCTACACAAATCACCAAAATTGTTTGATATCTTTTTCGTATCTCCAAAGGAGCATTTTGTGTAAAGGAAAAGGCACTAAGCCATGACTTCCGCACAGAGCTCAAAACAGCAATATCCTCGTTAGACTTTCAGAATAGTCCTTCGTCGCTTCGCGGCCTAAAAAGCTCGCTCCGCTCGCTAAGAAACTCGTGAGGTCGACTTGTAGCAAGTCTATATTCTCGTAACATCGGCTCCTATAAGAGTATGTCTAAATTGCGTCTACATTGGGAAAAGAAACTCGCACAGTTCGGTGTACTATAAATGGACAAAATTATGGGTGCCTTGGTCTCTAGAAATAGCAACAGAAACGATCTTGGTTTCAAAATGGGTTTGTTTGTCTCACTTAACGGGATTTTGAGAGTGTGTCTATAAAACTGAGTCTAAATTGGGAAAGGAAAATGGAAGTGCTCTCTTTGCTGATTCAAATTGGAGAGGGGAAAAATTCAAGTTTTGTTCGGTATTCTGGGACGCTTCCGCTTTCGTCTGGGTGTCAATAAAAGAAACCTGATCAATATTTCAGTGATTAAGATAAATCTGTTGACAATTGAGCCTTGAGTAATGTGGCGTTACTTTGATTTTGAATCGCTTCGTTTTGTGATAAGCGACTAAACAACATTTCTCTGTGTGAGTCTTTTTGACTGCAATGTCTGCTTCCGAAAAAGAGAAGCGAGGTTTTCGAAGAGTAAGTAACAGCGAATCAACCGTAAGGTGCTTGCACATTTCGACTTATCGGATTGTCTGCGTCGAGTGTGATTGAGAGCCTATTGAGTTTTGAACTCTTATTTTTGAGTTGTTCCTTTCTCACTGCATTTTAGTCACGATCACATCCCAGCTGGGAGTATGGAGGGATGGGGGGTTCCAATTGTTTAGCCGATATCCCGTCTTTACAGTTTCGGACCCAAGGCCATTCCTGCAGTCAGAAATATCTAAACTAAGTAGTGGTTTATGGTTGTCGCTCAAAATGTTTCGTTACTTTTCTTTATGATTCTTAAAGCTGTCATATCCAGTCAAGTAAAGTTACTAAGACACGTAATTTTAACTATGCCGTTTTGAACTTTGAGTCTGGGGACAAAATCCTATCGTGTTACCATTCAAATGAAACCCCTTCGATTCAGCACTACTTTCACGGCGTGGTACTAAATGTTTAGTACGTAGTTCTAACTTTTGAATCTTTGAATGAAATCCTGTGGTGTTACCTTTCAAATAAAACCTCTTCAGCAGTACTTCCTCATGGTAATATCCATTTCCGAAGTAGTTTTATAAACTTTTGAGTCTGTGGACGAAATGCTATTGTGTTACCATTCAAGTGAAACCTCTTCAGCTGTTCTTGCAGTGCATGGTACGCTCTATTTAGAGGGTGGTTCCAACTTTTGAGTCTGTAGACAACCCTATTACGTGACTACATGTATTCAATAAAATCTCTTGAAACGCACTCTCAAATAGTACTTGCTTTTCTCTGTATTTTTAAGCCTGCAAATTTTCTTTAAAGAGAGTACAAGGATTAATGCTATGTTTTCATTTTTTCACAGCGCGGGTCCCAAAGGCGACAATCTTTACGAGTGGTGCTCCACGATTCTGGGTCCTGAGAAATCTGTGTACGAAGGTGGAGTGTTCTACCTTGATATTTCTTTTCCTATGGATTATCCTTTCAAACCTCCAAAGGTACGTCAAAATTAAAGTAGGTCGGAGTGATCGTATTCCGGAATAGAAGTAGCCTGCGCGCGAGCAAGCTCTCCATTGCGAATGGCGAGCGAAAGCGCGTTTCCTTTTGCGTGCGGTCGGCTCTCGCATGACTTCTCGCGACTCCCCCCAAAAGGAGGGCTTGCACGCAGGTTAGAATAGAAAAAACGCAGAAACTATGATAGAAATCTCTCATACCGCGATTTCTAGGCCACTTCAGTGCTACATGCATCTTAATATTTTATTTCAACAATATTTGATTCAATCAATGCCAAAACTAGTGATTTCTAAAGTTAATCCCGTTTTCCTTTTACTAGGGCCGGATAGGGTCAATCGATCTTACCCTCCAGTTTATAGAATTTTAATCTTCGGCGGGGTCGCTACCCTGCCTGCAGAGGCCTCTTTTCCCTTGTCATTAGCTGGGGCAGGCAGGAGGAAAAGAGAGTCTCTTTTCGTCATTGCCTGCCCCATACTCTTTCGCATAAATGTCAGGTTTTGACGATCAAAACCGCCCGGTCCATCCCAGGTAACAGCTTACCTGCAATTTACCTGGCCCATTACAATTTGTGCGATGATAAATGTTATGCCAAATTACCTGACTGGATTCGCGTTGTTTAAGTTAGAATGGGGTTAGAATTCTCACCTTTGAGCTGTTTCTGGATTTGAAACGTCTAAGAAAATTAGAATATAATGTGCGTTCCTTGTGTAGTTTGTCACACGTTTTTGTCATGCATCACTTTTGAAATGATGATGATTCGGCTAAAAATACACGTTCAGCTGATTTGTGAAAGATCATGGGATAAATTACAACCTATAGACGAAACACGTAAAGTCCAAAAATATATTGACTTCTCGTGGATAATTCGATGCCGAAAAATAACACGACCTTTTAATAGGATTAATTGAATTCTTCAGCTGAGATTAAACTGATTCGTTTCGGCGTCACTGAAGACAGCGGATTTTTTTTCAAAACCTTAATACAAGTGTTTCCGGCCGATCATCCGACTTTAATGTATTTGATAACCCCTGGTATTAATTTACGTCCGAAGGGAATACTGCGCTTTCTAATACCTTTCTCACACTTTTCGGAGGATATCGAAAGAAAAACAAACGAGCAATTTGCAGCTCCATATAAAAGTGCCCTTGTTTCCTGAAACCGAAACCATCGGGGTCCTTGTTCAAGAGCCGATTTACAGTAATAAAGGATCGAAACTTAGCAGATAATCATCGGACAATCACTCTTTCGAACTCTTAAGATTGCCAGCAATATGATGACAAATGAAAATAATTATCCCAAAATTTCGTTTTTGTCCGCTAAACCCAGGATTGAAACACGGCTGTCATCCTTCTGACGAATAAAGGAATTGTCCCAAAATTTGTTTTTTTTTCTTAAATATTACAAAATTGATCAGTGACACTATGTCAAAAGGGCTCTGAAGAGTCAAACCTTAGTTTTTTGTCTAGCCAGTGTACAGCCATCTACTCCCTTCGGGGAGGGGGGAAGGGTAGCTGTGCACATATGCAGGCCAAATCTATATTTTGTATTTGTTTTAGCCCCTTGCGAAGGTTTATGTTTCAAACCGAAATGTCGTGTACAGAAAATATAAACTATATTATTTTCTTCTTCTTCTTTTCGGCGCAAGGATTAGTTTAGATGCTTTTTCTACAATTTTGTTGGACTTCAGAGAATCTCAGATTCTCGCTCTCTTTGGAACGAAATCGACCAAAGTGGTCGTCAAAGGGTTAAAGTTAAAGTTTCTACAGACGCGAAACTTACAATTACATGTTGGTTGTCTACTATTTACATGGACAAACCGGTCGGTTCACGGTTTGCGCATTGTGGTACGCAAAATTCAGGACTGGTAGCCCAGGAATTGGGTTTACCATTTGAACAAATCAGTTCCATTTACCGAAAAACTTCCGCGAACGCCTCGAACTGGTATCAAAGATGGCTTTGACGAATGGTACACGAATTTGCGTTTCAATACTCCGTTCGGAAAAACAGCACTACCTTTTCAGGCTTTCCGTTGCTCCCGGACATTTCCCTCTGGAACGACCCAAAAAGTCCTGTTCCACTTACTTTCCGACCGGATTTTCGGAAACTTTTTTAAATGGTATTTTCCCAAATTAAGTGTTTGTTGTTATTGCTACACATAGGTGTCTTTCCGCACAAGAATATACCACTGCAATATTAACAGCCAGGTCAGTCAAATTAATTAAAATCTTATTTGTTTACATATGATAGGATGAAGTTATTTGACCATAACTGCATTGATTCTTCGTTTGGGTTTTTCCTCCTTGTTGAAATGAGGTCCGTTAGTAACTAAGGTTCACTAGGAATAAGCTCTCTTCTGTTCCTCTGTGTGCCCGGTCTCCGGGACCGGGGGGGTACTTTGTAGTAATGTGGCTAATGTGGCTGTTCCGCTGGATGGGGTCACATTTTCATGACTTGATTGATTATAATGGGATTGAATTTTCTACAGTCACTATAATGGGGTCGCACATTTTCTAGCTTGCGTAGCATGGCGGTTTTTCTCGGATGTGCAAACAAGCCAATACGAGTTGACAGTCTGTGGTTAAAAGTGTCGCTTGTACATTTTAGGGTGTAATATGTCTGGACATTCTCAAAGACAGCTGGAGTCCAGCGCTCACCATCTCTAAAGTTCTTCTGTCAGTTTGCTCGCTTCTCACAGACTGCAATCCAGGTAACTACTTTTCACAATTGTACATAATTGCGTGAGCACTGGAACGATTGGACTGAGCTAACTCAGTGATTTTGTTACAGAAAGTTATGGTGAGTCCTGGGACTCATCTTGTGATAATCATGAGTCCCAGCCCAGAACCAATGAGTCCCAGTTAACCCTTTAAGTCCCAATAGTGACCAAAATCAATTTTCTCCTAACGATATCCATACATTGTCAAGAGATTAGGTTATAAGAACAAATAAAATGATCACCAAAGGGAAAATGCTTCGATCTTTTATCAAATTCTCTCAACTCATTTTTAAGAAAATGTGTAGAGATCAGTTTGGAGAATTTGTTTGTTGACATTTGGGTTTAAAGGGTTAAAAAAAACCACGTCCGAAATTTTATATGTAACCAGACAGTTTATCTGAAGACAGACTCTAAAACTCTGTATTACAGTAAACTGAAATTAAAACATAGCCCTTCTATTTTAAAGCACAACAAAGGCTAAAAGAAATATGCATTGTGAAACAACAGCCATTATAACTGCCACAGAAATTACACGATCGGAATATTTCGGAAGCGGAAGCGGAATAGGTCAAGGAAGCGGAAGGGAATAGCTCACTTCGGTAAAGAGTGATAGCCTGGGACCCAAACCAGGCGCGCGAGCATTTATGGGATTATTTGTGGGGCGCGAATGTAAACAAACATGGCGGAAAGCGACGTGGAATGTTTCAGGGGAGTTCCTGAAGTTATTTGTACATAAAGGCACACAACAACTGGCACGTCTCGTCATAATTCAAGGTGGCTGCTCGACGTGTTCCCCCAAACAATCCCATAACTGCAGCGCGCCTAGTTCGGGTCCCAGGTTATCACTCTTTTCCGAAGTGAGCTATGGGAGTAAATCCATAGCCAGCCTTACAGTTTCGGTGGGAACATGATGAACAAACCGTTCCTCACAGTTCTTTCACCGGTAAGTCGGTCTAGCGCTGGCTACTGCAGAATGAGAGGTTCACGGGCTCGATCTCCGGGGCCCGACCAATACTCAAACTTTTAAAAGAATTTGGAAGAAGGTACTGTCTTTGCCCTGCAAACGGCGAAATCTTCACGTGGGTCGGATGAACACGTAGAAAAGGGCGATCCTGTCTCCATTCGGACACGTAAAAACAGCGTCCTCAATTATAGTCCTTGCTGCTAGAAACAAAACATTAATCGAGGCGGTTTTTTTCTTTGTTTATATGTAGGTGATCCCCTAGTCGGCAGCATTGCTACTCAATATGTAAACGATAGAGAGGAACATGATAGGATAGCACAAGAGTGGACAAAGCGATACGCAACATGACAATGGTACAGCAGCCAATAATCTAATGAAATAATTTTTCCAAACCCTTTTACTTCGGAAAGTGCCGTAAGAAAATCCAAATTTTAATTTGTAAAATAATTCAAAGAACTCACAGTAACGCAAAAGAGGTCAGTTTCACTTGATAGTCACACCATAGGATTTTGTTCACAGACTTTATAATTAGAACCAACTCGTACAATGTAATGAAAAGGAGAACAGGAAAGTCCTGCTTAGTGCTTGAATGTTTCATTTGGATTTCTTCCATAGACTAAAACGTTCAACAGTACTGCATAATAAACAGAAGCACAGAAGAGTACTGCACAAGAAGTATTCAATTTGAATGGCCTCGCCATAGTATTTTCATTCACAAACTCGTTAGCTAGGAGTACTTTGCACGTCTCCACAATCAGACTTTAGGAGTGGAAGGGTTAATCTTATATTTTGTACCATGTCAAAGAAAACAAGTCATCAAGATGAAGGAAAAACGCTTGTAAAATATCACACAGGTAGTGCCAACTTGGGAGTTAATGATCTGCACAAAAGCAATAGGAACCTTCTTTAAAAGATTAATCGAATTATTCCACATTCTAGGCAATATCGAGCATTACTTCCTGGTCAATAACTTTCACTTATTTTTTCATACAGCATATCAAGGTTTGCCTGCGAACGCAGACGTGTTTCCGGTCGTGGATTATCTTCTTTGCTGTTTTTTGTTGTAGTTGTTGTTGTTTGTTTTGTTGTTTTTCTCTCGCTTCTCTTGGCCACACAAGCGGAAATACATCTGCGTTCAGGCTACAGCGCGGTTTGTGAGCACGATTTTCATATTTAATGATTACACGGCCTGATTACAGTCGATCCTTCCTTAACGGAAAATCCATGAGACCGATAACTCAATTTTAAAGCGAAGAGGTGGGAGCGGCTCACTGCCGTTCTTCAGTGGACAGCTACGACCCAGTTCCCAACCTCGTCCCCAGGCTCTTCTCGTTTTCCAATATGGCGGCGGCGGATGTAAACCAATCAGAGCGCATGTGTACATGCACCAGGAAACGCACCAATCAGCGACAGTTTTAGTTCGCTGTGTGCCAAGGTCTTCTCTCCTGCCGCCGCCATACTGGAAAACGAGAAGAACCTGGGGACAGGGTTAACCTAGTCCCCAGGCTTCACTAGTAAGCGCGGCCTATGCGTTTCGGGTTTCGTAGTCTCCCCGCGGTTCATCTCAGATCTCGGGTGCTCCACCGAAGTGCATTGATCGAAAAGGCCTGGGAAGACTCCGTTATAAAAGTGACTGGGCAAGATACTTACCATTTACACGGCAAAAACCGGTAATTCTGGTTGGAAAATCAAATAGTTCGCGCTATTCCCTTTGGCGGAAAGCCTCAGATAATGCCGGCTTGGTATGATACAATTTTTCTACTCTTGTTAGTCTCTCCAGATGACCTGGATAAAAATTGCAGCGTTTCTTTCTCCCACAAGGTTGTTAACTTAGTTTTTATGCACGAGATTTCCAACCAAATAGTTCGTGTAAATGATTAGTAACCATGAGCGCGATGAAGGCAAATGGTCGCTCTTGTATGTGAATAGTTTTTCATGGACTCCGACGACATAGATTCGCGTTGCATGACGCAAGATTGACAATAAGAAAATGGCCCAATGGGCTAATGTATTATCATATTTAGTAAAAAGTTATTAGAGATATTTTTGTTTCAATATGTGTAAAACAAAGTAGCTTAAGAGGTTAATATTCTTCTTTGCCGTAAAGGGGAAATATATAAAAAAAAGTGGGAGTGAAGTTCCCTTTTACAGCAGACGTATCAGTATCACGGGGCTTGTACACTCGACATATTTATTACTGATCTCTATTTGCACTTTAGGGAAACAAGCCGTGATTAACTTTTTTCATTACTTATATAATTTATTGCTTAACTAGTTCCATTTAATCTTCTCGATCGGCTGATTCATATATCAAGATCAAGACCGCGATCAATGGATATATCTCTTTGATGCAAGGCGGGACAATCTGGCCCCTGTTGTTGAAGGCTGGATAGTGTTATCCATCAGGCCCCAGTTGTTCAAAAGCTGGATAGCACTATCCAACGGATAAATCACTATCCAGTGGATAAGTATTAGGGAAACCAATTGTACTTTCCACTGGATAGCGCTATCCACCTTTTGAACAACTGGGGCCAGATAAATCTCTTACATGTTGCGTCCTTTTCCACACGCTGTGGCATGTTGTTGCGTGTTGTTGGGAGTTGTTGCGTCCGTTTGCACGTTGCTAAACGTTTGACTGGTTTTAAACTTTGCGCAACAACTCCCAACAACACGCAACAACATGCCACAGGCCCGTTGTGGAAACGGACGCAACATGTAACGTGCCACAATGTTGGGAGTTCTTGACGAACAATGTTGTGTCCGGTTCCATGGGGCTTAAAACAGCCATATCCTTGTGACACCGCCTCTATAGTACTATCTGACCTTTAAACAACTGGGGCCTGGACGATTAGGGTGATCATAACCTAATGGGGTCATTTAACCCGGGGGTACTCAACAAACTTTTATACGGGGAGGCTCCGCCCCGAGATCCAACCTCTTACCCTTTTATATACCTGTTTTTTGGACAAAAAAGGTCCTCCTTTCGTATACCTTTCATTGACAAATGATACCCCTTTCATGTACTTAGCTTAGAACTTTGTATTCCTTTTAACTGCTGTAAATACACTTTCTTTTAAACATGAATAAATCACATAACTAGCAAATTTTCTCGATTTTTTCACAGCCATAAAATCCTTCTGCATTCCTTTTTGGTCATTTTGAAGACCGAAATGACAGATTTCCCCACCATTTCATATACCTGAGGTCTGAGAAAGGTACCCCATTCGGGCGGAGCCTCCCCGTATCGGCCATTTTAGGGAGTACCCCCCCCCGGGTCATTAAGTTAAGTTTATGAATAACATTACCAGTCAGATGGTGCCATGTGAGTGCTGTTAATCCTAGATTATTCGACCTTTTCCAGTAGCTGTGGGCTTTCGTGAAACTAAATGAAGTTGTAATAAATGTATATAAAGCTATTCATATCAAAGTAAGAAATGAATTTAATAAGACTAACTTGTCAAACTTATAATAAAATACAATTTGAAGGAAAAGTCTGAACGCAAATGAAACTAAATATCTGCAACTGAAAGCAGGGAATTTTGAATTCCTACCGATAATTTCTTAGACACGGCAAGGGCGGAATTAGAGGATACCCAGGGTCTCCCCCCCTTCTCACTGTCCGACAATTTTTTTAAATGTTTATTAAAATGGGTAACTCGGTCGAAGACGTATTAACGAGGATAGCAAACATATAGGGAACACGAGAACGTTCTCTGACACAAAGCAAACGGTTGCAGGAAAGTCGCATTAAGGTGGCTGAACACAATTTGTTAGGTTGTGAGTCGTTACTATTCATTGGGGTGTTATTCAAGACTCGTTACCAGTATAAAGCTCAAAATTTCGATCGTTGCCATGGCAACATGGATGGTTTAAAACAAGCCTAAAATTGTGAATTCAGTAGGTTTTGGCAAAATCTAGACATATTTTTTTACGAATTTGTACACAGGTTAGAATAAATATTCCTCAATTAGCAAAAACTGAACTTTGCTGCCTTAACTTTGATTCTCAAAGAGAGTGAGGAAGAAAATGAAATATAACGATCAGAGGAGCCCATTCGCCATAGGAAAATAGGAAAAGAAGGGTTTTTACATGGGAAGGAAATTACGTAGATATGGCGATCGCGTTGAATCGTACATAAATTATATATGACAACCAGATTGCTAACTGAAAATGTGTAAAACCGAAAGAGAGCCTAAATTTAGCAATTCATTTGTAGGGTGTAAACGACAACCGAAAAAAGGGTTTTGTCCGTTATACTTTTGTTTCCCTGCTGGAATACTTAAACTTTGCTCCATTTTCCCCAATAAACTGCTCTCTCGCCCCCCAAAATTCACTAAAATGCTCGTCAGGGCTCATCAAAGACTACGCTAGACAGCTGGCTGGCTAGAGGCTTTTTTTAATTAATTTTCGGCGTTTTAAGAGGGTTTGAGGCTAACAAAAATGTGCAAATGGCATGAAAACAATGTATTTAGCTTAAATACAGCAAAAAATGATCCTATACAGGGCTGTGTTAGGTCAAATTTGAATATTTTCAATCCTTATATCCTGTGAGTAAAAAGAAAAATGCCACTAAAATGTCTGAATAATGCTTAATGCTTTTGCCGCACACAAATGTTAAAAAACGCAAGCGTAATGTACAAAAGCCTAACATCGACAATAGAACGGTATTAATTAAGGGGTGAGTTCAGTGTAATAAAAGGATCGCCTGCCAGATTATTCATTTGAAAAGGTGTTAAATTAAAAGATCGGCGACTTTTGTGAAAAAATTGTTCGATTAACTTCAGTCATCTTGTTGATCTGATGATAAGGTGATAATATACCCTTATGAAGCACACAAAAAATCATTCATTTGGCTATCCTAGCCTGTTTTTTAACAAACACCTCTCTGTGACCCTGATTTACAGTGCAGCACCTGCCTCGTACCCAAATGTCTCTCTCTCGATGAAAATTTGTGCCCAAAAGGAGGCGGGAGATCACCAGTCACTTGCTTGTCACTCGCGTTTCGCGCATACCCCTAGTGCGAAAAATGAAGCGTTTAAGGAGGCAGGTGCCGCACAATTACAACCCACCTACCCCTCCCCTAAGCCAGCATTTTGCCCTAAGTGACCAATAAGTGTTAATGTTGACTTAGGAGAGGGGTAGGTGGACAGTCTCCAAAAACCTGCAGTGATCCCAGAACGTCTTTAATATATAGCCAGTAAACAAAATACAAAATCATTCAAGTTTTTTCAGTTTTACTTATCTTGCTAATACCACACAGATTTTGGAGTCAACTGTTCTTTATCGTTTATAATCTTGGTTAGGGCTCTGATTCCAGTAAGAAGCCCTTTTCCAGACGCCAGGTAACCAAAATTGTACACCCTGTATATCCAAAACCTCGAAAACCATACCCTGTCGGTAGCGCAATTTAATAGGGAGCTTAATCAAAAGCGACGGCGACGGCTACCTAAACGTCACTTAAAGAGTGAATTCGCGCTGCCTCAAACTTTATCGCGCTTATTCCATGTCGTTTAATTCGTCAAATGTTGGCAAATTTCTTTGGAGTTAAA